AAAAAAAAAAATCAAACCATAATTATTTTTTCGTTTTTGTTTTGAGCTACTACACTAAAAAAAACCTGCAACGTCACATTGGTTTTGTTCAGTTAACCATCATCACCATAATATAGAGTTACAAGCTTGTCTCTGCTTGTAAGCCACAGTCGAATCACTCTATAACAGTATCGTTTGTCTTGATATTTTGTTATGTTGCTATAACGCGAAATACTGTTATAGAAAATATATAATATAAGATAACATGAAAAATCGGTTCCAAAAAAAACTTGATTATTATAATAAAATATTGGTATAAATGATGGATGTTAGAACGATTTAACTGTATATAGTCATTCCACTCAAACTAATTGTCATGTTTCGCTTTTTGAGAGTTAATTTAAGTAATAATCAAATCTAAATTAGAATAGATCAATTCAATATTTTAAAATTGTGATATGCCTTGTACAGCTTTGTTTACATGACAAAAAATTTAAAAAATTTCAAACCATAATAATTTCTTAGATTTTGTTTTGAGCTACTACACTAAAAAAACTTGCAACGTCACATTGGTTTTGTTCAGTTAACCATCATCACCATAACATAGATTTACAATTTTCATCTAAAGCACCATATAAATCTCTTGTAAAGAAAGACTGCATCACATTTTCAACTAATCTTCAAATAAGTACTAATACTATTTTTTTTTTTTACTAATACCCAATTTGTTTATTACCCCTGAGCTCAAATGGGAGGTCATCAAACAGGGGCGGAGCCAGAGTGTTGATTGCGGGTTTGGCCGAATCCAGTAACTTTTGTTCAAATCTTGTATTTGTATGAAGAAATCCAATAAATATGTACAAAATTATTAATTTAGACTTCAGTAACTTAAAATAATTTTAATCTCGAATCCATAAAGTTCAAATCCTAGCTGAACCGCCTCAGTCATCTATTGAAATATAGTTTTTGTCATCAGCTTATATCATTTAATTGTAGCTTTCATATATATAGATATATACTATAGTGATAGCAGCAGCTCCAAGTTTGGTGTCCCACCTTGAATATTGGACTACCAAATTCAACTAGGAACTTGAATTAGCTGAGGATGTCATGCCACTAAAAGTGTGTAATAGTTGAAATTAAAGGGACCCTTTAAAAAGAGGCAAATGTTGCCCTAAGCAGTTGATCAGTCAAAGGTATATCAAACCCATCTACTTTCACTTAGAAAAAAAATTTCTTTAAGAATTGACACATGAAGCATTAAGAAATGTAGTACAATAACAACTACACATTAGTTCCAAACTCAAGTTGAGATCGGCTATATGAATTAATATTATTTACCATATGGTTTTAAATACACTATTCAATTTTTTTTATATTAAAAAAAAATTAGTTCGTTCAATCACAAAAATTCTTATTTCAAAAAGCATAAGGAAAATCATGCAAGTCTTTTCTGGGTTCATACTTCAAACTAGCATTGGACAACAACAATAATATACCCAGTATATTCTCATATGTTGGGCTTGGATAAGGTAGTGTGTACGCAGACTTTAACCCAACCTTATGCACAGTGGCGTAGCGAGAAACCCCGCCAAGGGTGTT